ATTTATGTCATGTTTATTTATGACACTAATGAACCTATTCAATATTGATGAGCAGTGTTTGATGGAACTGATTCTGTGCTTCTTGAGGTAAAAGAATATATATTCTCGTTTGTTGTAGAATAGAGACCAAGTAAGCATGTGCTTGGATTGAACTTATCCTAAATTAGATAGTTCTTATTTAGAGAATGTGGGTTATTTATGAGATGATGATTAAGTCACCTATGCCTAATTCTTGTATCTTGACACAAGTTTTATATGGAAGAACAATATAAGTTAATTGATAGAAATTCGTTAAATTAAGAATTCAATTATGGCTCTTAAGTTATAACCTATGCTTATTGGGCTTTACATCTCATGGTTTATTGTTTACCCTGTTTTTAGGTTAGTGTAAGAAGGATAAATGGCCTTGAAAGCCAAGAGCTGCATAAGGATGTGGAGTTGAACAAGCTTCTTCAAGCTTGTAAGGTAAACTTGTATTTGCACAAAACTTTATTGTGGGTCAAGGTTTTCCTGAAAATCCACTCTTGGGAATCTACAAACGTTTATAGTGATTTTTTCTTAGTGGAAATCTTTGTGTTGCATAGCTTGAACTTGAGTTTCTTACTGTTTGTCTAATTGCAGTAAGATGTCCTGAAACTTATTCCTTACAAACTAGTAAGTCTTTGGCAGAAGTTTTAAACATAGCTTCCTCTGCACTGGTTCAAATGTTTTCAAAAAGAGACTTAAGAGATGTTTCTTCAAAGATATATATATATATATACACACACACATGAGAGATTTACTTACACATAAATTTTATAGAATACACTTACACAAAATTTTGACCATTCATCTCTCCACTTTCAATGATTGAGATTTCAACCACTAGAAGTAGAGAGATGAATAGTTGAGATTTTGTATAAATGTGATGTGTAAGATTTATATGTAAGTGAATACTTACTCTCTCTTTCTCACTTTCACATAAATTTTACACACCACACTTATATAAATCTCAATCATTCATTTTTCCACTTTCAATGGTTCAAATTATCTTTTTTATCTAAAAAATAGTGATAAATCTCAATCATTGAAAGTGAGAGATGAATGGTCAAGAATTTGTGTAAATGTAATGTATAAGACTTGTGTTTAAGTGGATTCCTATATATATACATATGTGTGTGTGTGTGTGTCTGTGACACCAAATTGAAATTTGGTTTTTAAGGTTATAGCTCAAAACTGGCCTTTGGATTTGGGATGTAACAGAAAGTGTGCATTATCATACCTGTACTTCAAAATGAACCTCCTTCCGAAGGTGCCAAATGCCCAAACGGTTGCCCCCGTACCCCCCGCCACCCTCCGTGAGCTATATATGAGAAAAATGAGATTCAGAGTTTCAAGAGTTGCTGATAATTTATTTCCATCCCATATCAACAGGTACAGTAATCTTATCTTCACGAAAAGCAAAACATAAGATGTGCCTAGTATATATTTCCTCCCCGCACCAAGATCTACTTAGTAATTAACAAACTATAAAGCAGCTGATAGCATTCCATTATCATACCTCTTGAATAAGCTTGTGAATAAGACTTTCCAATTTTTTGTTGACATTTGTCAAGATCTGTACACGTCAGAAATAGAAAATAGAGAAAAATGAGACGCAAAGCTTCAAGAATTGCTGCAAATTTATTTGCATCCATATCAACAGGTACAGAAAGATCCTCTTAGTAATTAATAAACTATAAATCAGCTGATAGCTTTGCATTTATTATTTTGCAAGAATCAGTCTGCTGTAAAAGGCCAATTATTTAAAAAAATCTAGAGAAATACCACCTATAAATAGAGAAGAAAAGAGACCAAAATAGATAAATGCTACCTCAAGATCTTCTCTCACTTCCTTCAGAACCTGAATGGTGGCACGAAGCCGAGTTTTGAGTCCCCCCAATACTACACGCCATTCTATTGTTTCTTTTTTCCGAGTTTCCAATTGTCTTTCCAATTGTCTTTCCCATTCTGCAATTTTATTGTTCAGAGTTTCCACTAGAGGTCCCATTTCCTTAACTTTTTGCTTCGCATCCTATATGTGCAGAACATTAAAAAAAAAAAAAAAAAAAGAAGATGGAAATAATAATAATAATAATCATAATTAAGAATATCAACATGGAGAGATGATAAATGCATTAATTACCTTCATATTGTTATAATGCTCTCTGTTACGCACTGCTTTGTTTGCTCTTAATTCCTCATGAGTCAGTTTCCGCTTCCCGCTTCCCTTTCGTGGTTGATGGGAACAAGAATCAGCTTCAATACTCCCTTGAATCCCCACCATTTCAGTTAAATCACGAGAAGCTGTTCTCTTCACGGACTCCATCTTCTCAAAGAAAAGCTCAGCAAAGAGCAGTATAGGGAGCTTTGCATAGGGAATTAGGGGCTTAAGCCCCAGAGCGTTTATATTAACGTCTGCCCTGTACAGTGTTTTAAAAACCGACCCAGAGGTCAAACCGTTTTGACCTCCGGGTCTCGGTTCGACCGATTTAACCGGTTAAACCGTTAAAACCGCTGGTTCAATTACATGTCAATAAATATAATGTTGTGCAACAATCGAGAATCACCTTCCTATGGTTCCAGTGGGGTGTTGTCTTCTTTCTTAAAATAAGAATGAAGGTTCGAGTCCAAGAGTTGACAAATTTTGATTAATATGTTTTTAACATATAATTTATAAATGTCAATTTATAAATTAATTAAAAATAAATATAAAAATTTAAACTTGATCCTGTGGACCAAGTGGCTTTAATCACTCTTGTAAAGTTCATATTTTCCTTTCTCTAAGATAACGGTTTGAATCGACCTCATGACTAAAATGTTCAAAATATATATATATATATAAATTTATATTATTATATTTATAACTTATAATATATTAATGGACTTTTCTTATACAAGTGAAATATATAATAAATGTAATTTTTTATAATTAATTTATATAAAATTATAAAAATTGATTTTAAATTAATTAATTAACTAATTAAAATCATTTACATAAATGTCAAT